TGCAACGTTTTTCTAGACCTGAGCGTCGCATCAATGGTCCCACTATAACACATCTCTGGTATATTAACAGTGTCGTTTTTGTTTATTCCCAACCAAAATTATTATCTGGTTAAAATATAACTGTAGTAAGTTTGATAATGCTACATGTGAACTTCTTGCATTTTCACAGGAAAAATGAAATAATTAACTTAATGACCTTAAATCTTGCTAGTTCTTTTTGTTATATGATTGTCATAGTCTTATTTCCAGTAGAGCATCCCACCCACCAAAAAAAAGGAAAAGAAAAGAGAGAGATGATATCTAGGCACAGTCATGTAAGAAATTTTTAATTGATAATGCAAAACTTCTAAAAGTATTGTTTCTTTATAAATATCATTTTGTACTTCTCTTGACCATTCGGTTTTCATTTTTTTTCTAATATCATTTTTTCTGCTTCTAATAAAGTATAAGAATAAAAGACATTAAATTTGGGAGAATATGTTAGTCTAATAACTGAGACTGGGGTACCTATCTGGGTGAGATATTTAGGAGAAAAACATGCTTACCAAGCCACTTGACACTAAATATAATTCATTCTTAAAGACAATAACAACTACGACTATGTCAATCTAATAGAAGACATGAGATTTAGGCGTGTCAGTATAACAACTAGACTACCTTTGATTTATACTAAACTCTGAAAAACAGTTAGAAATACCCTTCAACTGCAACATAATTATGTCTTGTCTTACTTCACTGATTTCACTTATTTTTAAGATTTTTGCTTCTTCTCAGGTTTCCTGATGTAGTACAATCTGATAACGTATTTAGCTAATTGTTTCTTAGGTCAATGCTGAAGCTACTTGATGTGTTGGTCCAACTTGATCATCTAAAAAATGCGAAGGCTAGCATACCCAATGATTTTTCTTGGTACAAAAGGTATGTTGGTGTTTCAAGAAAAGGAATGTTACTTGTATAGCCGATTTCATTTATTATTCCTTTTTCAATTTATAGTAACTTTCTTAAATCTTAATTTACTAATCATTAATCATGAGTTTATTCAAGCCATTTGGATTAGTATTAATGGTGTCCTCACCTAAGAATTTATGGATTTGGGATGTAGTTTTGTTTTGATTTGTTTAAATTTTCATTTTAGGGACGTGGAATACAATCCTCATTTTCACATCTAAGGAAACTAGCTGCATAATTTGTTCTGTGTGGTCAAAACTAATTCCTGGAAAGATGAGTAATATACAATTGTTAGTTTTTGTTCCTTTGAATAATGTGTTGCAGGGAAAAATACACTTGTTCTGTTGGTCATGATATAAGCAATTCTATCATAATTTTGCAGAGCTTCTTCTAATAATTCTAAAATTACTTTGCAGTAGTGAATCTTTCATTTTCTTCAACTTGAAATTTAGACAGATGGAATTAATTTATTCGTTGACAATCAAATCCTATATGTAATGGTACAATCCCATCAACTAAAGGAAGAAAAGATATTCCTAACTATAGAAGGAAAAGGAAACAATATAAAATCCTATGACTAAAAGGAAAAATAATAATTCATAACGACACTAGGATATAAATTAGATGGAAATATTTCAATAATCTTCTATTCTTATTTTCCTATCTTAACTCTCCCTTAAGTTGGTGCATTGATCACACGTTCAATTTGGATGGTGATGTATAGAATGAAAAAGTGCTTGAAAACTCTTGGTGGACTATGCTTGTGACTCCAAGTGGTAAAAAACCTTCCCCTTTCTACCAGTTCCAATTGTCATCTCGGTTAGAATGTGCTCCACAAATGGTTACTTAAGATACATGAGAAGTAGAAGATTGGTACACAGACATAGACAATATGATAAAAAATACGCACAATAGAGTGAGAGATATTTGAACACAACAAATGTCACATGCATCCACAAACACTCATACAAATATCATCTCACACTTTTAGTAGAATCCTTTGCGCCTAACACCAAATTTACGGTCAGTAGAAAGAGTCGTGCACCCAACAGAAATAAGAATCGCCTGGTCCTTGCTTACACATCTAAATCGACCTAAGAGAGACTAAGTTTTCGAGTAGAAAACTAGTGCTTACTTTGGATGTAATAGATGTGATTATCGTTTAGTAGAGAGGAATTTTTTGTCAATGAAGCCAAAAAATAGAGAGACCATGATCAGCCAGATCCTTATGGAGTACGAAATGGCTAAGCTAGGTCAACTATCTAAAGAGTCGCACAGCTCAGTGAAGGTCTTCGGAGAGTATTTGAGAGTCATGTTAGGTTGTTGCCAAGAGGCGAAGCTGCCAAAGGTCCAGCCACTAATTTTGGTAGCCTAAAAAAATGGCCAAGAGAGATGGCAGACTAAGAGATAACAACAAAGAATATTTTTGGCTATAACACTAGCACCCTAATGCATGCTAGATGGCTGGGTTGACCAAGATGAAGGTGTACAGCTTTGAAAAAGCTACCGTAGGTGTGACTCAATAATACTTGGATTTGAGAACTACAAAACTTAACAGTAAATAGAAGACCCCACAATGTTGTAGAATGCCCAACAATGTCTGTAGCAAGAAATATCTTGCTTAGTCTAATGTTTGAAACTTCAAGAACACACGAAATACAACCTAATCAGAACACTCCAAAACCAATCCGAACCAGAAAACCAGTATCCCAAGAAAATAACGATCACGCAGAATTTGGAAGATGGAGAGAGAGCTTGCCGGAGCGAAATAGAGGGTTTTAGAGAGATTGGTCAAGATTAAATTTAGGGGAAAGAAATTTAGGGCTTGATTGGTATTAGAGTCCACATTGACCGGTGATATTTACACGATCCACTTAATAAGGTGAGTGCAATCCTCCCATAACAAGCCGATTTTGTTAGGTTGAGTTAGACCCAATATCTTTTCTAATATGGTATCAAAGCAGACCCAGTTTTGCAATGTTGAGTGCACCCAATATCGATTTGTTCACAATTATTTGGCATGGTCCACGCTGTGCACGAGGGGGACGTATTAGAGTCCCACATTGACAGATGATATTAACACGATCCACTTAATAAAGTGAGGGCAATCCCTCCCCCCCTAACAAGCTTGTTTTGTTAGGTTGAGTTAGACCCAATATCATTTCTAATAAATGGAAAAGAAAATGATGTTTATACAAGATCGATTTCTTGGTAAAGGAAACAAATCTACTCCAGTATCTTTACTAGATCGGGGTTAAAAGTTGTGTCAATACATTAAAATGCGTGGTTTAAAAATGATCGTAGAGAAATTTGCGCCAAACAAACTGTGGTTATTATTTTCTTTTGTAGCATTGTTTGCCTCTAATTTCGTCGTTGAATAGCGAAGATAATGATCATGAGTGGCATGTATCTATCAAATTGCATGTACAGATTTTGCGTAGAATAATTCTTATTTCAATTGTTTACACACCTAGATTTACTTGAATACTCTTTACTATCTAATCAATAAATTCAATGGGCACCCAGAGAGTTGGTTGTACGATAAAATCATCTAGAAAGAATAAAAAACCACCTAACACAAATATGAAATATTATTTTTAA